AAATATGAATGTAATAACTTGTCACGAATCCTACATCAAGCTTAGAGATATTGTGGTAAATGAAACTCAGTGGTGGAAGAAACTTGCAGTATTAAATGTTAACATGGCATCGACGATAAAGAAAGTTCCGTTTTACTATCCTACCATTATTCTTTTACTAATTGAAAAACGGACACAATAAGGCGACTGCAGAAATACACCTTACACAAGCAGAAAAAAATTAAGATACGTTCAAGTCAGACGAACAAAAGAGTTGTGGCTTTCGCAAGGTTTTACTTGCAACTGCTGGCCAAGGCTGTCGACTTCCTCAAATGCACAGTGCCATATTGAGTATATACAAAATCTCATGCCATCTGCCCCAGTTATTCAACATTTTATAGAATTTGTTTTGCGTCAAATCCTATCCTTTACGAATTTACTATTATACTTTAAATGTTTATAAATTTGGATGCTTTTGTATGTTGACGAAGCAATGTTATAGAAGATAAAGTTTTTGACATTTTAGAGAATTACCTTTGTTTATCGCTACGAAGCAACGAAGCACAAATAATGCATCTAATGTGGGCAAACACGGCAAAACAGGTTAATGACTTCAAGTGCTTAATGACGAAAAATTATATTGTTACAAAATAAAACGTATTTTAAGTTTGAGACTATCAACTTTACCATCAGTAAATTCAAATTTGCTGACATCTATAGCAATTTTTTAGGCCCTAAATACAACAAATTGTGTCTGATCGAACTATACAGTACAATTTACTACGTAATACCAGCTGTACCTTTATTGCCTTTAGGTGTTTGTTTAAACGATGGATACAATACGACAGCGGTGCAAATACAGTTCGAAATGACATGAAAAACAATGCTTCAAGGAATAATGACTTCTTTATTAAATAATGTTCAAGCGATTGGGTTTAGCATAAAGAATCAAAAACAACATCATTTGGATATGAATTTTAACTCGGTATATGAGAAACTTTTAGTTCATGCATTGGACGGCCACTTTCTGGGATATTATATCAAACTAAAATAAAACTAGATATGATGATTTGAATTTAGGCAATTTTTACAGTTTTTTTCGTAGTATAGCTTTTTTAATTAGTTGTTAAGTGTTGTCCTTAAGTCTGCGTTCTGATGTGAACAAGTGCACCGAAAACATGTAGAAACAGATAAATTTCGAAGTATCACATTAAAATTAGTTGTATTATAAGGCCTTTACTAATTGTGAAGTCTTAAAGAGAAATATCGGATCATTTAATTATTTATGAACAGATCGCAGGCTCGAAGAGCGAATAAACGAAATAGGTAATATAATAAAAGGTTTGTTATAAAGGATTATTTTAACTGAAACGAAGCTTTCTTTACTTTTTTGTCCTCGCTGTTTTGTAAAAGTTGGCATTCATACCTGTTTTATTTTTGTTTTCAAAATTTTTGCTATTTGCTTTTCGAAATTTGTTTACGTTTGTAAAATTACCTGTAATGGCCGCCGACATGAATTGTTATTAATCAGAGACTATATATGGTCATCGTCCACATTAAGTCATTAACAGCATATGTAATAACATGGTTGCCTCGAGATCTTTTGTTATCACATAGACGTTTACTGACATATTTCCTCATCATAATATTCATTAGGGACGTTTAGACTAAATATCCCTAATGCATTAATAATAAAACAAAACGCTAATTCTTGGATTGCATCCAATCTTCAAGAAATTATGAAACAATGTGTCCCACCCATTCATAAAAATTTCATAAAATAATGACAAAAAATAATGTTGAAACTAGTTTTAGATATGTACATTACATGCACAGCGGAGCTTTATTTCTATCGGGGGGGAAGTGCTCGCAATATAAATAAACGTCGATATTAAAGGCAGCTAAGTAGTTTTGGGTTTCAGCGTTATCTTCAGATTGCTCAAATTCTTTTATAAAAACTTACAGAAGTATCACAGAAAATCGTGGAAAGATTTTGCAATTTTTTACATTTTTTCAATGTTGTTGTTACTCCTTTGTTTGCAGTTATTCGTGAAGTACTAACTGACAATGAATACTCCATAAGAATTGAAAATCTCAAGCGGATTTCTTTTCTATTTTTTGTTAGTGCCGCTGAAGAGAAAAATTATTTACAGAACAGTGGAATAGTGTTTGTATTTGATTTAGTTGAGTGATTTGAGCAAAAATATAATAGTATATATCAGGGGCGGATCTAGAGTATGTCAAATCCGTCGCGCGACTGATGTTTGAAATTCAAAAATTACCTATTCATATTAATTAAAAATTCATTAATTATTCTTACTTTCTTATCGCATTTACTTCGTGATAATAATCCTGCATTATTTATTATTGAAAACTAATGACTAATCCAATGAATATCTCGTTGGTAACCAGATCAGTTGAATTTTAATTGACCTGGAATAACCGACTGATAAGCGGGGTTGACTGGTTCGACGGATAAAGGAGTCTATGAACGTCAAAACGCTTATTTTATTGGTCAATAGCCAGATCAGTGGACAGTCTGGAATGGTCTCGACTGATAATAAGGGTGGCCGGACGTATAAGGGAGTCCAATTGCTATCTTACAATTGGTTCATTTGAATTTTTGCTTTATTGTGATTGGTTTGACGGATTTCGACTGATAGCCAACTGAACTAACATAGTCAAGCTCACTGTCTGAATTGAATGTTGGTCGTTTTCATAGTAATTTTTATAAGCATGATAGAAACTAAACTACAATCAGATGGAATTTATGGAAATCTTTTACAAATTCATATATTGACATGAATGCTGCTGTCCAAACTGTGAATTTTTTCAAGAGGGTGAAAAATTTATGGATAAATTTCAAATGCTTGGCAAAGACGATCTCGCGAGCGACATTTCAGTCATTGATGTTCAAAAGAAAGCAAACATTGTTTTGAGTTTTATCAGCGGAAATTTACATCCAAAATCGTAAGTAAAGGACAACTGAAGTGTATGCATGAATGTAATATATCAAAGTCAATTTATGCGAGTGTGTAATGCGATTTATGTTAATATGGCGTATGGTAAGCAGATTGATGCTTCTAAAATTGTTGTTGCCGAAGGACTTTTAGCTCTGATTTCTTTAGTGCTTGGGGAATCGTGGCCGTTATACGGCAGCGAAATCCTACATTCCTGCAAATATATTTCAATGGACAAAAAATCTGTGGCCATAAGGCGCCATACTATTACTTACTTTATCATAAACAAATGTTTGGGGCTTTTCAGTTTATGATCATTGGTCATTCAATCATTGGACAGTTTTAATACATATTGTTTAAGATTTGAGAAAACTAACATTGATTTCATGAGAAGCTGTTTACTATAACCTGTGATTTTGAGTCTTCTGATCCATGAAGCTTTTTATTTTGACAATTTGACTGAAATGGTATTAAACCTGAGTATTTCACATACATGAAATGTTGTCCCATGTCACATATTGTCCCCTTTTCTAACTGAACACCTCATGTAGAGATGTAAAGGTGTGTTAATCTACGGCTCATACCAGATTGTTTGCCATAAATTCCAAAGGGCTATTGATGTATGAAAAGCATTTTCTATAAAGTAAAAATGTCTTTCTATGTATGCAGATAAACCTTGAAATTTGGCAAAACAGCAAAGTATTTTTCATGATCACTAGGTAATTTTTCTGATGATCATTATAATTTCTAAACTAAATTATTTCAGATTTACATTTAAACAAGCTTTGATCATATGAAAAGATATTTATCATAACCAGTAAGCATGACACATGAACCAATTTTAACATTCATGTAATTATATAATTAAAGACATGTTGGTTACATTCTGTTTGTATTTGCAAATACAATGCTACTAGTGATTGCTATATAGCACACCTTGCATATACTTACAGGAGATAATAGTCTAGTGAAATGCCTAATAAACATTTATGGCATTAAGCTGTCCTTAACTGCAAATTTTCACTCTAATTTTTGCTTAATCTTTGGCAGAAAAAATTTTGAGTTTTTCTCAAAAAGTGAATTTGCTGGCACTGATGTGGAGATGGGTAAAGGGTTACAATAAACTTGCATGGTTTGAAGTCTGAGCTTTTCTATATCTATGAACTGTCACTTGTAGTACCAAATTTCTAACTTAACTCATTACATAGAGGTTTGAATTGGGGTCTCTGGGGGGGTCTATGCCTGAAAACTTGGTAAGAATTTTTAAAGACTATATCTGTTTTTGAATAGCATTATTGTAAAATAAATTTTACGTTCCTAGACATGCTAATGAGCCATATATTTGGCATGATAATGAGCCTAAATATTTGGCAAAACATTCAAGTATTGTTCACTTCATTTTTTTTTTTTTGAAAAACGTAACCAAAATGTGTTGTTTTTACGCAAAAACGATGCCCACAAATACATTTTGTATTGCTCTAAAACGCTGAAAATGGCATTTTCAAGGCTCTGAAATTCAAAATTTCTCAGGGGAGAATGCCTCAGACCCCCCCTGGTGCGGAGCGCCTTCGACGTTTTATGACTGATGTTTGAAAAATCCTAGATCCGCCCCTGGTAATTGCTCTGTATTTTTGTATTTGTAACAAGTTGATATTTTCCGTAAATAAAGCATAATTCGAAAGCAAATGTAAATTATGGCCGCATTTAAACAGAGATCAATCTTTCGGTGGTGTTTAGGCCGGTGTAGAAAAACGAGGAGAGGGGTTAACAACAGACTATTCATTAACGATTAATTGTCACCAATTAACTTGAAACCACTCGGCTCCTTCCTTAGTATTCAACCAAAGGATGTGTTTTGCAATCGAGCTTTCTGAAACATACATTTTTCATGTTTTTTAACATTTTGAGTCGTTGCTTCCAGTCCATTTCTTCTTCGCTAATCACTAATCTACAGCCGAAGTACAACGTAAATTAAGAGATGACAGTGCGCATATATTCATACATTTTTCACAAACACCAAAATACATAAATGCATAAATTACTTAGCATGCTACGCCACTGTTTGTTTGTAATTTAACTTTATTTCTTATTTAATGTATTTAGATAAAAAGTATTACAGCCATTATCCTATTTCAACTATTGACTACATCCTTAGTCTAAAAATTTGATGTTATGTTCCAACTGTTTTCAAATATTGTTCAGAATCATTCACTCTCGTTCACTCTTATAGTTAAAAAGGAAATAAAATTTTTTGTTTAATTATATTCTTTTATAGTACGCTAAATTTCAGAAAACGTCTTATAATATCGCGTAAAAAATTCAACTTCCCCCATTTTTGAGAACTTTTAGTAGCCGTCGAATGACTACAATACGCAGTTCACTGCACGGTAGCAGAGTTTGAATTGATCCTAACAAAAAGAATGCCCAATATGACAAGAATAATGACCAAAACAGCAGCTACAACTGCACCAGCAATAGCTCCAGTGTTTCCACCGTCTACATGATAAAAATGAATGACAAATCATACCATTACCAACAAATGTTGTTTTTCAGCGATCATTTTTCTAAAGCTGAAGGTGTAACCACTCTCACACCTCATGTATTCATCCCTGTTAACTATTCATAGTTTATGGTATAAGTTATGTTTGCAACGCAATGAAATTAGAGAAGAGGTACACAAAATCACTAAGGCAGTTATTTGTTGGAATTAAATCGGCTGTATCATCAAACAAAATCTATATTCATCGTTAAAAATTTTCAGGTATTTCACTATACTGAAATTTGCAAAGATCTTGAATCATTGCACTTTAGACATCGATAAACATCCCTTATGCTATTGAAAGCAAACACAAACCTGAAGACTTGTGCTTTTGGGCAGTTGTTGCCACTGGACTCCAGTCAGTGGAATAGTAATCATCCTGAAACGAAGTGAACATTTATATTTGAATAAAAATTACAGCAATCAATGCTGATGAAAACGTAAATAAATGGTCGCACATGATAATTCATGAAAACGCGCTGAAATATTTTGTAGCTAGTGCCAGGCTTTAGCGGGCCATTATAATAATTTTCACCATTGGAACGCCGTGTTGTGTTTTCACCATCACCAAGTGTAAAATCAGGCGTAAAGTCTCTGCGAGAGACTACAACAGCAATATACGGTATTGGTTGTGTGGAAGATATGGCCTTAGAATAAGTCATTAAGTCTGTGTTTTTAAAGTTAGAAGGCAGTCGACTCTCTTCTGTGCCATTTTTCATCGCGACTACATAGAAATATCTGCAAATTGAAGGCAAAACATTTTTTAAAATACATACGTAACCTCTGCTTTTGTTAATCGTTAAAATATATGTTATGCATGCATCCGAACTGCCAAAGAAAAGCGATGAGTCATCAAACCTTTTCCCACAGAGATATTTAGACTACCTCAATCCCACATGAAGCCAACTGTCCTATACTTAGACATGAATCCGAAAAACTAAAAAAATACTTTTAAGTTCCTTAAAGTTTTTTTACAATAATTTGCTTTAATAAAATACATAGTTACCGGTATTCCAAATTTGGATTTTGCAACAAATAAGTCAACGTACTTCCAATCTGCTTGGTGGACAGTTCAGGTGCCACTAAATAAATAAACTGGAATATATTTATCATCTTAAACAAACCTGTGCATAAACCATAGACAACAGTATAAGAAAAACATGATTGAAATAAATGTCGAGCAGAAAAGATTTGAGTTTTCAAAACCCGTCCACGACAATAACACCATCAATGCTATAACAGCCGATATGCATACACAAAAACTTAAATGAGCTCACCATCTTCAGCAGTTTTAAAAGTAGCTGTAGTTGATCTACCAAAGCCTTCAGAATTGCCAGCGGTTACATTAACTTTATACGTTGCGTAAGGAACAAGATTCGTAATGTTGTACGGTTTTTTGTCAGTTACCTCCAAAGTTTTATCGAAAACAATCATAGTATCCTTTAGCAAAATCAATACATATCTTGTGAGAGGATTCGAGATATTTGTACCAAGTTTTACACCAGTGTTTTGGGGATGTTTCCATGATATCTCGAGGTACGTCGATGCAGATTTGGTTGCAATGAGATCTGTTGGTTTGTCTGGGAGTAAGTCTGCACGATAAAAGAAAAATCTACAAACTGAATCATGTGTAGCCCTTAAATGAAATCAGTCTTTCTGCTTTTTCTTCAATAACACGTGTTAAACTTAACTGCATGTTGAAAAGGCTTGTTTCAGTAAGTTTATTTCATTAGAGAAAAAAAACTAACACTTCAGCCTTCATGAAAAATTGTTCACTTTTGTCAACTAATACTTATTTAATTAATTCTCAGAGAAAAAAACTTTATATATTGAATAATTAAATGTTTACATTGCAAAGTAAACCTGGTATATTTTTTCTACCTCTTACCTCCACCACAAATTTCAACTCGTATACACGGTGCACCAACAAATTTCAATGGAAAGATTCGCAAAGCTTTTGATTTAAGGCCACCAGAAAACTTTTCAATAGCTGCATTATTGTAACCATTTTTGTTTCCTAGATAAATCTGGAATAAAACAAAAAAAAAATTTTCGTGTATTTGCAGAGCAAGGTTAGAGAAAAGCCAGGTTTGTTTAACGCAGTCCAGAGGAGAGTAGTTTATGCATTGTCTATGTATCGCTTTAAACTTTATAATCAAATTCAAGATTCTTTCGTAGTGCTGGAGTAACCAAGACAACCAACACAGTGACGTAGCTAGTCCATTAATTTTTTTGGTGCTATATGTAAATTTTTCAGTGCTCACTTACTGTAAAAACTATGGATCTCTAAAGAAATGAATTATGATAATGATCTGAAATTTACATAGAACCCAGCAATTTTGCGTGCCGGATACACCACTGAATCAACATCTGCACACAAGCTTATATATAAATAGCAATTTAAAAGTTTACTTAGTTTATAACTTCATTCCTTTTTTAAATTTCCCATTAAATTTATAGTATACAAATTCGAAAATTCTACCCTTACATTCTGGGATTTTTCAGATTTCCAGTTCACACCATCAATGTTTGTCTGCAAGTGATATTTAGTTACGAAGCTTGAACTTGAACTGTCACCAAAGATTGCGATAACGTTAACTGTATAAAGACTTGGGAAATTCAGTTGAAAATAATAATTGCCATCTGCAGCAGGAGCACAACATGAACTACCACTGGATATTCTTGCTTTAGAAGCACTACGACTCTTTGGGAAGGCAGTAAACCAAGAATCTGGGAATTTTTCTGCGTTTTTTAATAGAGGATTATCACAAACATGACCTTAAATAGAAAAGGGATTTTGTTAAAATTCATTACAACATTAGAACATGTTTGATTTGATAAAGAGCAATGATGCAATCCCATGTTTTTCTCCATTCACGAAAAATCGCAAAAATTAAAAATTGTTGTCTGAAGAAAGAGAAAGGAAGAGAGAGCACAAGAAGTATTTGAGGAATACGACTGATTTTGCATGCTTTTATTAAATAAGGTTAAATTCCAGTTGGAATCAAGCCAGCTATGACAAGAAACCGTACGTATCTTGTCAAATAACAGCAATACGGTAGCGATATAAATTCAATTAAAGAGTGAACGTTAATCATCGTGCAGAGCAATGATAATTGGACATTTTTTTGAAGCACGAAATGAACTAGCAAGAAAAAAATAATTTAATTCCCAGTATTCGCAGCAACCATGTCTGAATTATTCATTATCCAAGAGTAGCAATCGTTTATATTTTGATATATTTGTAAAAGAAGAATTGTGAAATTCTCCAAGGCAGTGTAAAGTACAGTGATACTGCGATGACAGATGTAAGTCTTGATGATAGAGGTAAGTCACGATGCTTAACAAAAGACAGATATAAGTTGAGAAAACAAAAGTAACCAAAGTATTCCTTAAATTCTTCGCTCAAAACTTTTTCTAACGTCATAAGAATGTGTCCTACAATACGTTAACACATTCAAAAAATTGAACAAGAATACTTACATGTAACGTACGAGTATTGAGAGCAATCATTATTTTGAATGATAGCACATTGAGATAAATCATTCACTCGAGCATCACATTTGACATTTCCAGGTATAAACGATTGATGCATCAAAGATGATAGTGACAATGAGCATTCCACAGATGCTGCGGTAGGATAACCAAGTTGTTTACAAATAATCGTATTTATTTTGTGCAAAAGACCTTTGTTGCAAATGGTGAAGTTTCTAAGCTTGGTAATAACATTCACGACACCTTCGTTCGGAAGATTCGACTGAGACAGGCGTACATCCATAACTACACAAACCAAAATTATTTTTTCCTTTAAATCTGATCATGGCGCATATCTTAAAATGAAATCTGTGTTTTTAGAAACGGTTTTATGAACATAAATATGACAAATCCCGTCCATGAATAAAATATATACACGGAGTTTGAATATCAGAAAAACACAGAAGGTGACAATAACTTAAAAAAATTATAGTCAGAAAGCACTTAACCAGAAATGTTTTACACATTCTGATGGACACAGTATCTTATAGATTTACAGTTAAAGTTTGTATGCACTGTTTTTCATTTTAATTTTTAAGTCGATAATGAACTGCAGCAAATAAGTTGAACTGAGAACTTTACTTTTGTGTTGTAAACACGAATCAGAACAAAATGTGTCCAAGTGAGTATGTGAATCATTAATGGCACCAGAACAAATACTGTTTTTTTACAGGTGAGCGCTGCGTTTAGCTTACCAATTCATATGAATTGTAATGAATATGTCTTTGTATATATATGCAGTATAAATGAAAATTCTGTAGTGGGAATTCATGAAAATATGAATACAAATGCAATTGTAAATGTCACTTTTGGCCTACATAGAATGACCAAAATATTTTAAAAGTGAAATAGATTTGGTAAATCAAAGTAACTGGAATAAGTGATGTTTCCATGAACAAAGTTCGCATTAACAAACTAAAAACACAAAATTGACCAAACGTTTAAACTGAAGCAAAATATTGAAAACACAAGTTTAAATGTCACATTATTTAAAGACACTAAATTAAACCATACGAGATAAAACTGCATAAACAGACCACGCTTGGTGAAGATACCCGACGAAAATTCAAATTTGTTTCAATTTTCTTAAATTGATAACGTACATAGTATAAAAATGAACATCATACCATTGCGCATTAAGGTCAAAACTTGTCCCGAAGCGCTTAAATCATAAGCAAAATATAATCTGCCTGTATAATACTTACGATTGCAAATTTTTCAGTATGGCATACTTGTTTCGTTACATTGATATTCAAAGTAAAGATATTTCTCCAAACCAGGACAAATACTTGAAGGAAAGTGATTATCATCAACAGTTATATTACTTTTTCTTTCACCCTCACAGTAATTTTTAAGGTCACATGTTACATCAACACTACAATTGTGGTCATAACTGGAGCCACAAATGCTTCCTTTTCTCAATCCACGATATTCTGCAACTTTTATCACCATATATTGATCATTAGGACATCCAACGTTTGTTATATTTTGTCCAGCACATGTCACTGATCCTATAGAAGACACACAAAATATCCATACAAACTTATTTGTTAATTCCTGTAAAATAAAAGTGATTTGATAAAAATGAAAAGTGTTATGGCAGTGACCTCACTGGCGCCCTTCTTATATCTGTGGCTTTGCAGTGGCTTTTAATCAGAGTCTAAGTATATATACGTTAACTGGATGAATATTCTCATTTGCCAAAATTGAATCGCCGATCTTCTTCATTTTTACAACTAACAAGTTTCAAGTAGGGATTTCCTTCTATACAATTATTATAGCGTGCAAAGAATAGACCACCCCAAAATGTTTGGGCTATGGCATTGATGGCTCCGCATTCCCCATTAAAATTTCTATGAAATAACCCCAAACGAATTCCGTTGAATAGTCTCACAATACAATTATTTGTAATTAGTTTCATGATTGAGCCAGATTGTAAAAATTTAAAATTAGTTGTCACATCAAAATAATTCAATGTTAAAAAATATTGGAAAATTTGAAATTTATGATGAAAATATCAACTCATATGAATTGTAATATATATATATTTGTATATATATGCAGTGTATATGAAAATTCTGTAGTGTGAATTCATGAAAATATGAATACAAATCCAATTGTAAATGTCACTTTTGAACTACATAGAATGGCCAAAAGGTTTTAAAAAAGAAGTAGATTTGATAAATCAAAACGACTGGAAAAAGAGATGTTTCCATGAACAAAGTTTGCATTAACAAACTAAAAACACAAAATTTACCAAACGTTTAAACTGAAGCAAAATATTGAGGACACAAGTTTTAATGTCATATTATTTAAAGACACTAAATTAAACCATACGAGATAAAACAGCATAAACAAACAACGCGTGGTGAAGACACCCGACGAAAATTCAAATTTGTTTCAATTTTTCTAAATTGATAACGCACATAGTTTAAAAATAAACACCATACCATTGCGCATTAAGGTCAAAACTTGTCCCAAAGCACTTAAATCATCAGCAAAATATAATATGCCTGTATAATACTTACGATTGCAAATTTTTCAGTAAGGCATACTTGTGTCGTTACATTGATATTCAAAGTAAAGATATTTCTCCAAACCAGGACAAATATTTGAAGGGAAATGATTATCATCAACCGTTATATTACAATTTCTTTCACCATCACAGTAATTTTTAAAGTACATGTTACATCAACACTACAATTGTAATCAAGACTTGAGCCAGAAATGCTTCCTTTTCTTAATCTACGATATTCTGCAACTTTTATCACCATATATTGATTATTAGAAGATCTGACGTTTGTTATATTTTGTCCAGCACATGTTACTGAGCCTATTAAAGACACACAAATAATAAGTAAATTCATATCTATACAAGCTTATCTCTAAATTCCTGTAAAATAAAACTTGATTTGATAAAAATAAAGTGTGTGATGGCAGTGACTTCACTGGCACCATTCCTATATCTGCGGCCTTGCAGTGGCTTTTAATCAGGGTTTAAGTATATATACGTTAACTGGATGAATATTCTCACTTGCCAAAATTGAATCGCTGATCTTCTTCATTTTTACAACTGACAAGTTTCAAGACGCCAGGTCCTGCCATACATTTATTGTAGCGTGAAAAGAATAGACCTCCCCAAAATGTTTGTGTTATGGCATTGCTGGCGCTGCATTCTTCACTAAAATTTCGATTAGATAACACCAAACCAATTCCGTTGCCGTGTCTGACAAGACAACTTGTTGTATCCAGCTTCAAGATTGAGCCAGATTGTAAAAATTTAAAATTAGCTGTCTCGTCAAAACAATTCCATGTTAACTCCAAGTGAAAGTGTCCAGGATAGTTTCCTGAAGGATCATAAACACAACTTCTTGACTGAACATGTTTGATGAAAAGTCCATTCATACCTGAAAAAGGACAATGATACATGATAAAAATGATTGAAAATATCACACTCTACAAAATATATAAAAAATAGGACTTTATCAAAAATAATTTAGCATACTGAATTCTATCAATATAGGAAAAAACACTCAAAAAAAAAGCCATCTTGAAATTCAAGCTTTCTAAAGAGTTGAATAAACCAATTGCTGTTGAGAGTCATTTTAAAAATAATGGCGTATGCAAGACTTTAAGGCATCCAGCATGGAGCATTGAGCTAAAATACATGGAACGCTACCTGTAATACAAAACCCTAACAATTTTTTGAAGCAGTGATTTTTCCCCAGACACGCGAGATTTTACTCCAAACATGCGTATGTAGTCAATGAATTATTACTCCGCGAAAGAATCTCGAAACACTAAACATGCGTGTCCAGGGTAAAATCTCGCGTGTGTGGCGTAAGATATGGCTTCAATTATTTGCTTGATGTAGCGTTCCATGTATTTTAGTTCAATGGCATGGAGACCGAAAAATTTTACAAACAATTTGAAAAGTGTAATATATCAATTAATACAAATTTTACGGCGCACGGTCTGTTACGATGGAATGAGGAGAGTTATCGTTTGTTTACACAATTTTAGTGATATATCGGGTCACCTATGGAACCTGTTTCCTTTTAAATTTTTTATAATTGTCGGCTGAACCTGGTTTATCAACTTTGCCAACTCCTCTTTGAACCTTAAACTGTATATATTTCCATGTCTTTCATGAATGCAAATTTGTGTCCCAGGAACAGTTGATGATTTACGTCAGTATTATACAAACATGAAGACAAGGAAAATATAATTCAATGTAAAACTGAATTGTGAATTTATTAAGCTGTACACTCTTTTTTGGTGGAGTTCATTTAAGTAATTTTCTTGATAATAAAATTACCAGAGTTGCAGAATTTAAAATTCCAAACACTTAAAATAAAATTCATGCCCAGGGTTATACAAAATCGTGAGGCTTTTTTTACGGGTTTATACAGGTTTATACATAAAGAGGAGAGATGTATGCAAATATGTACAGGGATATTATACAGAGGGTTAATATACGACGAAATTTATTTCTACTGATGTGACATGTAAACATTCTCCCGTGATAAATATTTAACAATTTTTGGATGAAGTTGAGCATGATAATAAACAACATATACATACCCTTGTATGTACCTTGATTACGTTGTCCTTTGTTCACGTTGATGACAACGTAACAGGTGTGATTTTTTCCACCGTATAGAACATACTTATAAGTAACGTCTTGATTTTTCTGTTCTTTCATTTATGTACTTATGTGAACATGTGAAGTCTTCTGGTTCTTCCCAATTTACGATTCCAAAATTACGATCATAATAATTTCCAAAGGTAGTAAATTTCACAACAATCGGGCTACATCCACATGTCCCTAAAAAAAATAAGTTATTCTTAACTGAGTAAATGGTTTGAACCCGGGAGTATCGTTATATGTTTGTAAATGATGATCGTCCAGGTTAATAAAGTCCTGAGAAGGACTGTTTTTGATGTTGTTGACTGACGTTTCGACAACCTTAGCGGTAGTCATCTTCAGAGTCAAATGAGGAGTAAACGTCAGGTTAGCCGTACTTGTTGTCTGGTTCTTACGCCATTGTATTGTGTGTACAGGAAATGTGCAGGAAATGTGTATTGTCATTGTGGATTAGTGTGAAGTGAAATATTTTATTTTTAGTTGTGATGTGTGATTTAGGTGTGACGTTTTTAGTTGTAGTGTGTGGGTGTCAATTGTGTATTGTCATTGTGAATTAATTTGAAGTGTAATGTTTTTAGTTGATCGTTTGTTTGTATTGTGAATAAGTCGTTTGTAAGGTGCCGGTAATTGCTGTGATCTGTTCAGGGGGGGTTTGTTTTGACTCTGAAGATGACTACCGCTAAGGTTGTCGAAACGTCAGTCAACAACATCAAAAACAGTCCTTCTCAGGACTTTATTAACCTGGACGATCATCATTTACAAACATATAAAAATTTTTTTTTCCTGTCCATGACCACAGTCACGCGTCCTTTGTCTGCTGGAAAGTTGGTATACCAACTTGGAACAAACCCCCCTGAACAGATCACAGCAATTACCGGCACCTTACAAACGACTTATTCACAATACAAACAAACGATCAACTAAAAACATTACACTTCAAACTAATTCACAATGACAATACACAATTGACACCCACACACTAAAAACGTCACACCTAAATCACACATCACAATAAAAATATTTCACTTCACACTAATCCACAATGACATACACATTTCCTGCACATTTCCTGTACACAATACAATGACGTAACCAGACAACAAATACGGCTAACCTGACGTTTACTCCTCATTTGACTCTGAAGATGACTACCGCTAAGGTTGCCGAAACGTCAGTCAACAACATCAAAAACAGTCCTTCTCAGGACTTTATTAACCTGGACGATCATCATTTACAAAATTATTCTTAACTGGTTGTCCAAAGTAAAAGAGCAAGTAGAAAGTGTCCCTCATTTTGCAACAAAATATCTCAAATTATTTGCATTTAATAGACAGTCTTCCGTAAACCTAAATAGACAATAACTACAGACTCTTTTATATTACTGCACGTATTATTGTTTTTGGGTGTACTGTCATATTGCTTTCCTGTACGTTGTACTAAACAGATGAACAATGGACGAGAGATTATGCTGTGTTAATGCATTGAAGCTAGTGTATCCAAATCAATTGAGTACTTTGACATGTTCAAGGGATATAACCCCACTTTGACCAACTTATAAAGAACATGGAGCCATTTGCCGCTTTTTAAATAGGGATTGTTTGGGATTGTTTGCAAAGTACAAAGCCAGTTAATGCTCTGCAAAGTGAAACGGATATTTACTTTACCTTCAAGAGGACATATCTCACTAAACATTTTAAATCTCTCCAAAAGATATTTCTTCTCTTCAACACAACAACGTGTATGAGTATCGTTGCATTTCAAATTGATTTTAATTTTGTCCGCGACAAATTTCTTCCATTCTTCCTCACAAAACTCAAGTTCTTCATTCCAACCCATTTTCATGGCGAATCCTTGACGATATGACAGCCACATCAACTACCACATCATTAAACTCATCGTTGCTTAGTTCTACGAATATAAAGTAAAGTTGTAAACTAACTATAAAAAAAGATGTTTATTTTGTTTTCAGAGGCCTATGAAAACCGAGGAGACATTTGGAAGACTGGAGTAGATCAGGAGACTGTGGTCGAGTTGTCCGAGGTTTGCATAGGCCAGTCGAAATACGAAAAATATCTATTATTTCTTTCATGAAATTACAACAATGCAAAACAGACAAGTGTAAAACAAACGTTTTAATTTTAATTTTTCCTCAAAAATGTCTCCATGATCGACATGGAAGTTCTCTTTGACTAATTGTTTGTTTTAATTCATTTGATTGATTCAGCTCAGAACTGTTTTGCACTGGCTAATGCAAATACGGCTATAGACCTCATCAGTTTTATTGTTTTCATTTTATAAAATCGATAGTTGGATGAGTGTATATCCCTTGTGTACATGAGCTATCACAGAAAGCTTTAAACTTATATTTAGATCGACGACGACATCGTCACAATTACATCTGTAATGCAAGTAGCCTACGATCAAAACGTACTTACGGACAGTATATGACCATTATGTAAAAAATCCAGTTCAGCAAAACTGGCTAGTTTAAAAAATTGTTGAGAAATGGATTAAGTTAAATTCATATGGCTCACGGCTCTGTCAATGGTATAGCGACTTTAAATACAGTGTAGCTTTTATAGTGGTAAGTGGAAATAAATTTTTTACTTGGTTATCTTTTAATTAATACTTTATCCTTCTTACTGTTTGGTCTATAGTACAACTTCTCGTTTTTCAAGAGATGTATTGAACAATGAAAAAAGGCTGTTAATTGGATGGTGCTAAGTGAGTGAAGAAAATGAGACCAAAGCAAACTAAATCAATGCAGATTAATTACTATAGACACAATCAGGGACCTTATACGATGTAAAAATTCTCTCTATGAATATAAAAATAAATTCAAAAAGTTACAGTTTAGAAATTAAGAAAATTACAAATTTCAAAAGATAATGATCAAGAAATAGTGCTAAAAAAGGCGCTGGATGTTTATATTACATGCACCGCGGAGCTTTTTTTTTATTGGAGACGAAGAACTGACGAAATAATCAAAAATCGATAATAAGAGCAGCTAAGGAGGTTTGGGTTTTAACGTTTTCATGAGATTGTTTACAACAAAATTTTTTACAAATTTCACAGAAATATTATTGCAAATCGTGGAAATATTATGCAACTTTTTACATTTTTTAAAATTTGCCGTTATTCCTTTGTTTTCCGTTATTTGCCGACTACTTGCTGACAGTGACTATTTATCTGAATTGAAAATTGAAAGTGGATTTCTTTCAAATTTTTCATCAAATAAATTACAGTGGAAGATGTAACTGAGAGATTTGCGCAAACACATATGATAGAAAGAGACTTCGAAGAATAAGTAATTGCTGAGAATTAAACATATTATCACTTTGGTAATTGACACCTTGTGTCGTCATGGAAACGAATTCTATCCTAGTTTGAACACTACAATTATATTCTTCATTATATTAGCTTTAAATTGATATATGACTTGTAAGTACTTTAGTAAAGGTAGGCTTTTATCATAACTTTATTTTTTTATTGTTCGTTATTTCATTTTTCTCTAAAATAAACTTTGGACTTAAAAGGTTAAATGTTAGCAAAGCAACGAGGATAAACAAACATTCGTTTTACCATCAACTGTAGCCAATGAAATTTATTACATCTTACCTTTTGTCCTTTTATTGTTAGAATTAAAGAATTTAAAATTGTGATCACGGATTGCAACATATGAATATATAAATTTATGAATTAAAGTATGAATATGATAACCGCTCCCTATGAAATTTATTGCATATTACCTTTTCTTCTTTTATTGTCTTCACGTCTTTGGTTAAAAAACACACACAATAAGGCAACTGCAGAAATACACCTTAAACAAACAGAGAAAAGTTAAGATTCGTACGAGTATGTCGAACAACAGAGTTGTGGTTTTCGCAAAGTTTCACTCGTAACTGCTGGCCAAAGCTGTTTTCTCCAGTGTGCAGTAGCGTGTATTGAGTATATAAAAACATGCACTTATGCCATCTGCTCCAGTTATTTAACATTTTATAGAATTTTTTTGCGTCAAATCCTGCCCTTTACGAATCAACAATAATACTTTAATTATGTTAGGAAATATGGATGCCGTGGTTTGGTTGACGAAACCAGGGGCGGATCTAGGATTTTCCAAACGTCAGTCCTAAACCGGCGAACGCCGGAGGCGTTTGCCCGTAAGGGGTCCGAGGGCACCCTGGAAAATGTTGAAGCCTAGGGTCCCAGAAATGCGATTACCAGCGTTTTGGAATAGCTTTACAACAAATTTTCAAAGTGAATTTGCAGTTTTTCATTTTTTCTTACAAAATATTGAGGACAAACACGCTAAGACCGTTTCGCCCAATGTCAGGGCTCTTCAGCATGCCTAGGAAACACATAGTGCAAAGCAACAATGTGATTCCGGACATGGACAGTCTTTGATTTAGCAGCAACGGCGCATTAAGCAGCCAGTTGCACTGTCTTACATTTCTGCAGCAACGGCGCATTAAGCAGCCAGTTGTGCTGTCTTACATTTTTGCAGCAACGGCGCATTAAGCAGCCAGTTGTGCTGTAAGACATTTCTGCAGCAACGGCGCATTAAGCAGCCAGTTGTGCTGTCTTACATTTTTGCAGCAACGGCGCATTAAGCAGCCAGTTGTGCTGTCTTACATTTTTGCAGCAACGGCGCATTAAGCAGCCAGTTGTGCTGTAAGACATTTCTGCAGCAACGGCGCATTAAGCAGCCAGTTGCAAAGTCAGTAATATTTCTACAGTAACGTAGCCATAACACATTAAGCAAATTTCAAACGTGTATTACCTTCAGCAAACTTATTGATCACTCTTTCTATGTCAGGAATAATTTCTGGGTGAATTCGCATTAAAGCCAGGCCATTTAAACGTTCCTCTACCATAGTGCTCCTTTGGTAGGTTTTTAGATTCCTCAGTGCTGAAATTGATCTCTCACATTCACATGAGGTGATTGGTAGTGTACCTAAAATGCGAAGAATAACTTTAATATTTTCAAATCCTGGAAATGTTACATGCTTCAGTGTTTTGACGATGTTTTCTGGCAAAGGCCCATTGTGCGTTTCCCAGTATAAACGCCATTGCCTTAATTCAGCATCTAAACCAAGGGGGTTGGGCAAGTCATCATGATAGAATTTTGCAACACTTTTAAACTGTTCTTTCCAATCAATTCCTTTGTCCGACAGAGTCATCATTTTGACGGGAACGATAGATAATCCGCGGTACACATTAACACTATCCAAGTTAAACCTAGTGCTCAAAGATGTTTGAAGATAGTCTAATAAAGGAATAGTGATGGTTAGTTTATAATGTTCTTTGAATGATTGACTGGGGGGATTAGATCGCATAGTTTGTCTTCCAGCAATTCGCTTTTTTGTTTCTTGAACGTTGACCTCTTCAGCAAGTTTTAAAGCCTCTTCATACCAAGTGTTATGATAAAAATTAATGCTTTTCCTCATGTTGGCTACATCATTCTTCAAAGTGGTTATCAAATGAAAACCATCCATAACATCAATAGTTTTTCCCTGCAACAATTGCGTGACTGGAAGAGTAGCATCAAGAATATTTCTTGTAATAACTAGCGCAACAATAAAATGAAATTGAGTAACTAATGAAAGTAACTGGGAAGCATCAGCAGCAAGGGAAGGCTTCACCTCGCTTACATTGTTTATCATGTCCTGAAGAGTGTCGATTAAAGGGATAAACAACTGTTGAAACGTGTCAAGACTGTCAACTCGCTCAACCCATCTGGTTTTACAAAGACTTACCAGTTTTGCCTTCTTGGTCTGAACATCTGACTTTTTAACGTGCTCAGCAAAGGGTATGTTGCGTGTCTGTGATATGTTGATAAAATTGGCAGCTTGAGAAACAACAGATAACATGTTATTAATTTCAACGTTAGAAAGAGTGTCACAGACAGACAAATTTAGTCGATGACTGTAACAGTGAGTGTAAAGAGCTTTAGGATTAGTTCTTAAAATGTGGGCTGCTAAACCATTTATATGCCCAGAAACAGCCCCTGCACCATCATAACCTTGTCCCCTGCAATCCATAATGGGTAAGGCAAATTTCTCTAGAGTTTCTAAAATAAGCTTTGAAAGTTGTTGACCACTCAACCCCCATTTGCAATGCAGGAAACACATGAACTCTTCTTTAACATTCATTGAAGAGCCAACAAACTGTAGAACAAGGGACAATTGCTCTTTGTGAGAAGAATCAGCAGCTTCATCTGCAATGATAGAATAATATCTATTTTTTTATGTCGTTTATAATATCTTCTGATATTACCTGACCAATACAGTTGATGATTTTGTTTTGGCTGGTCTTGGAAATATAACTTTTATTCTTGCCACATTTGAGCAAATGATTTTCCAAAGTTTGATCACCAGCTCTAACTCTAAAATTTAAAGATTCAACAAAATTACCAACATTGCCATTGACTGAATAGCAACCGACCTCTGGGTGAAATTGAGCATCGTCACGATGACCTCGTAATCCAATGCCAAGCCTTCCACAAAAAAGAACTGTATCAACAATTTGTTTAAGAATTTTCCTATTTTGCTCAATTTCAAGTTTTATGTTAGTATCTAAGATATTTTCAATGGGTTGAGCTACACCTGACATTTGAGAGCATATATTATTCAAAATTGGAGAAGTAGATGCATGTAGTCCCATTTTTTCCCCCTTACAATTTCCAGCATGTCGCCTAAATGTACCTACAGCATCATTCCAATGACGAAAAGGTGAACGAAATAGATTGTTTATTCTCGAGCATTTACTGGGAATTGATGTCCAAAAGAACACATGATAAGCAATAAGCACCATCTTCTTTTGGTGAATAACACAGCCAGGTAAAATCTTTGAGCCATTCATATTTAAAAGACCTTTTATTGTTCTCACTCAAAGGAGGAAAAGTGTAATTTTCATCAGGTTTAAAAACATTTTTAATAAGCAAACAAATATCAGACATTTTCAAAACTTTAGCTCTTTTGTAGTAGGTAGCTACATCAAAATTGTGAATAAAGTTAGGCTTTACCTGTAAATCTTCAATGGTTTGTTCAGTAACCCTAGTACAAGAAACCTCACTTGTAATGATTTCTGGTTTTTCCATTTTTGAAAAAACTTACTGATTTTCCCAGACTTTTTTCAGCTTTTGCTTTTTTTGAAGGCACTGGGCATGTTGGACCAGAAATTGTCCTTTTAGTTTTGCTAGGAAAAAAAACTAGAGGAACAAAATGATTAGGTTGGAAACATTGATCTGATTTAACTACCCCTTTATAACAAAACAAAAGATGAATTGCATCGGCTGATTCTTTAACTATTCTTCTTGGACAAACAAGAGAGTTGAATATTGATTTAGGCCTTCTCTCTCCACAATCTGGGTAGTAAGTAAAAATTTTTGTCTCCAACACAGAAGAAAGAGCTAAAATGCATAGAAACGATGACCACTTTTGGTCATGACAATTCAAAAAGGCCTCCTTTTTGACAAGATCAACACCTACAAAACCAGAATCTAGACAGTCTTGAGATACTGTCAAAGGTAAAATATTCTTTGAGGTGTTGTTGAATTCTTTATGCTGTTCAACAATTGAGGAAAATAAAGGATGTTGGCAGTAAAAAGTAGCATTCAAAAACAGCTCAAGTGATGTTAACTGCCTCAAAATATGCAATAAACTGTTATCACCTGCCAAAAGCAATGACACTGAACTGTAGAGACAGTTGCCAGATACTTCTGATCTAAATTGAATAAAAAAGTCGTGTTCCTATAAGTCCTCCAACAAAAATTTAACTAACTGGCCAGGAAATATCTAACATAGCACAAAATGAAATCTGCTTCATTAAAATTTATACAACAGTCAATAGACATAAACCACATCTCATAGTCGCATAAATTGATATTAATGGTTTGGATACCTTAAAGCCATGCATACATTTCCTTTGTCCTCGTGTTGCTTACGCACGATTTTGGGGATGTAAATTTCTGCTGAGAACTCTCTGCTCAATGATGTTTCGTCTTTCTAAAGCAATAAGAATTCCTCTCTCGACATTTTAGTCGCCCCAAAATATTCCTCATTCAAACGCAATTTCAATTCATTCAGAGATTTATCATTCTCTTGCGAAATTGCAGTCTGAACAGCAGCATACATATCAATATTTAACATTGTAGTTTGTAAACGATTTTCAAAATAAATGCAATGAAACAGATTTTAGAAACCACGCTATAGTGAATCACAAGGTGATGATCTATCTCGCATTCCAGACACCACGCTTGACTATGTTAGCTCAGAAGGCTATCAGTCGAAATCGGTCAAACCAATCACAATAAAACAAAAATTCAAATGAGCCAATTGTAAGATAGCAATTGGACTCCCTTATAGGTCCGGCCACCCTTATTATCGGTCGAGATTATTCCAGACTGTCCACTGATCTGGACATTGACCAATAAAATAGCGTTTCTGGCGTTCATAGACTCCTTTATATGTCGAACCAGTCAAGCCACCCCGCTTATCAGTCGGTTATTCCAGGTCAATTAAAATTCAACTGATCTGGTTACCAAGGAGATATTCATTGATTTGTCATTAGTTTTCAATAATAAATAAAGCTGGATTTTCATCACGAAGTAAATGCGATATTCAAGTAAGAATAATTAATGAATTTTTAATTAATATGAATAGGTAATTTTTGAATTTCAAACATCAGTCGCGCGGCGGATTTGACATACTCTAGATCCGCCCCTGGACGAAACAATGTTATAGAAGATAAAGTTTTTGATAATTTAGAGAATTACCTCTAGCTACGAAGCAACAAAGCATGTTCCCCCTAATAAATAGCAGAAAGGCAACAAGCCTCATACTTGAATGAAATTATATCAACATTTCAGAAAAACAATATAATACTAATGGTGTAGTTGCACACATAACAAGTAATATAAAGGTCATTGAAGGGTGAAAATAAGCAAAATTTACAAACCACCAAGTTCCAGTTCACTTGAATGTCCTTTGTACTGACTGTAATGAAAGAACACTGGAAGATCCTGTTCAGCACACTCAATAAAGCAATAACTTTGCTGCAAAAAAACATGCATAAATGTTATAGAAGAAAGACTGAATGTGCTTTTAGAGGGGATGAACTTAGGGAATAAATATCAATAACATTATGGAAGATGTCATTAATACATATGTTGATGTCAAAGCACTCGTTGCCGGTCAAATGTAGTTCAATACAGTCAAATGTACATGAATGTATTCAAATGTGGTTGAATGTACACAAAAGTAGATGAATGTATTCAAATGTAGATGAATGTATTCAAATGTGGTTGAATGTACACAAAAGTAGATGAATGTATTCAAATGTGGTTGAATGTACAAAAGTAGATGAATGTATTCAAATGTGGTTGAATGTACACAAAAGTAGATGAATGTATTCAAATGTAGATGAATGTAATCAAATGTGGTTTAATGTACACAAAAATAGATGAATCTATTCAAATGTACATGAATGTATTCAAATGTGGTTTAATGTACACAAAAGTAGATGAATGTATTCAAATGTAAATGAATGTATTCAAATGTGGTTGAATGTACACAAAAGTAGATGAATGTATTCAAATGTACATGAATGTATTCAAATGTGGTTTAATGTACACAAAAGTATATGAATGTATTCAAATGTAAATGAATGTATTCAAATGTCGTTGAATGTACACAAAAGTAGATGAATGTATTCAAATGTAGATGAATGTATTCAAATGTGGTTGAATGTACACAAGTTGATGAATGTATTCAAATTTAGATGAATGTATACAAATGTGGTTGAATGAATTCAAATGTGTTTTATGAAACACATTTGTGAATGAATTCAAATGTGGTTGAATGAATTCAAATGTGTGAAACAGGGTGCAAATTAATATTACACACATGGGCACGCGAATTTCAGTTGAAGGTATTTTCACAATCTTAGGTCAAAAATTGATACAATATCTGTCATGTTAGATTTAAGTGACTATGTCCAATAATGGGAGTTGATATCATTAGAATTATCTTAAAATGTAGATTACTGGGGCAAACAGTCCGAATGGAAGTTTTAATAGAAAGCTTTTCAAATTGACCAGAACAAAAAATAAGACACCAAAATGGTCATAGCTTCCTCTACAAAGGCTATTGAAATCAAAAACATTTTTGGCAAACTTTTAGATATCATGCAAATACACTTTCAGATGAACAAACATTATAGAATGTTTCTAAATAGTAGGAAAATATTATAGAGTGTTTCTAATTACTAAGAAAACATTATAGAATGTTTCTAATTGGTAGGAAAACATTATAGAATGTTTCTAATTAGTAAGAAAACATTATAATGTTTCTAACTAGTAAGAAAACATTATAGAATGTTTCTAAGTAGTAAGAAAACATTATAGAATGTTTCTAATTAGTTGGAAAACATTATACAATGTTTCTAAGTAGTAAGAAAATGTCATAGAATGTTTCTAAGTTTTAAGAAAACATTATAGAAAGTTTCTGATTAGAAAGAAAACATTATAGAAGGTTTCTAATTAGTAGAAAAACATTATAGAGTGTTTCTAAATACTAAGAAAACATTATAGAATGTTTCTAATTGGTGGGAAAACATTATAGAATGTTTCTAATTAGTAGGAAAACATTATAGAATGCTTCTATTAGTAAGAAAACATTATAGAATGTTTCTAAGTAGTAAGAAAACATTATAGAATGTTTCCAATTAGTTGGAAAACATTATACAATGTTTCTAAGTAGTAAGAAAATGTCATAGAATGTTTCTAAGTTGTAAGAAAACATTATAGAAAGTTTCTGATTAGAAAGAAAACATTATAGAAGGTTTCTAATTAGTAGAAAAACATTATAGAATGCTTTTAAGTAGTAACAAAACGTTATAGAATGTTTCTAATTAGTAGGAAAACATTATAGAATGTTTCTAATTAGTAAGAAAACATTAACAGCAAAATGAAATGAAAGTAAATTTTTTATTAACAAAAAGCAGTAGAAAGTACCTTCCACGAGTCTGTTGCCATGTTTGATTCACCAAAAAGTGAATTCTATTTGTTACAAAGGATGCCAGCAGTTTGAATGACAATTTTTTGCAAAAGAATATATATGGTATATGTATGAAAATGCTCCTCCCAATTTTCCTAATTCACCGAATAATATAATCCATTTGCCTTTTAACAAAAAGGCGAAATCTGCTGTGAATAGTTAAGATTGTTCGTGTAGCTATGACTTGCCAATATGAAAGTTCCTTAACATGGACTGTCTATGATTTGTGATGAATTTCCTCATCTTTTCTGCTTTGCGACATTTATTCTAGCAAATAACCAGAAAGTAATTTAACATTTCTTCAAAAATATCATTTGCTCATCATCTAATAACATGGGACATTCAATTACATGTTTTGACTTATCAATAGTGCTGTAGAATAATTATCATCAAGAGCAGCAGTTAACAATCAATAGCACAACATGTATATACATACTTTGTAAGAAAAGAGAAGTGCAGTGTCGCAATTGCAACAGACAATGTGCAACAGTTTATACCTATTACAACACACTATCTGTTGCACAACATATACATTTGTTTATTTAAATGTCTTCGTATCCAAAGGATTCAAACTTTTTTTGAATTAAATGCGCATTAATGCGACTTGAATATTAACAATTGCTAAGCAGTATAAATAAATGCTATTGTCTACTGGTGCTCTTGATTCTTCCTTCACAATAACGAATATTCTACTGTTCTACTGTAAAGTAAAATTGCATAATTCAATGTTCAATCTTCTTTAATGATGAGCGAATGGTGTAGCAGCATAACACAGGAGTAACAAGAGACAAATCCCACAAAATATTTTACAATAGTGAATAGTACGGAATAAAGCCACTGCACTGGATTCCTTGTGATAAAGACTTTAATATTTATATACAGCAACATAGCTATTGTAATTATACAAAAGATCAATCTACACTAAGACTGGAACAAATAAGGAGTTAAGTTTCAACATCAAATCAATTTTCACAAGAGACTAATCACCGGACAAGAAATAAGTTAAAACTTTCAACATGAATCACATCAGATAAAGGCGACTCATAATTTTGAAGTCAAACATACAACTATCATGTCGACACAAATCAGACAAAAGATACGCATTCATTTGTATCTTTAAAAGAGTCGAGGCACAACTAAAGTTCTTTTTCAATTTGTAAATTCAATTCTGAGATTCACTTCTTGAAGACATCAAATATCAAAAGAAAAATTTTTCCATCAAATTATCAAATTGCTTGTCAGTCTTTGATTATTAATTTATTTCAATAATGGTCATTTGAAGAAACTGTAGCGTATAGTTTTAATTAAATTGGATGCCGCAAAAGCAAAAAACAAAAGGAAGAATACGAATAGCACACAAATACAGGAAAGGAGAATATTTTGCCGTCTGCTGAGTCTTTGTTAATCGGCTTTGTCTCGAAACATGGTGACTAATGATTGTCAATTTAAAAGGTCAACTTAACGCCAACGGAGTACAAAGTGAACAAAAATGTAATGAAATACTTAAGAACTGACAATTGATATTGAAAAAGAAATCAATACCTTTTTGAGGACAAAATTTCGTCCGTAACTACAACACCATCCAAATTTTTACAATCCGCCATATTACATGACATCAGTGAACTCTTGAAAGTTGACACACCGGGCACAGAGCCCTCTATTAGTAAGAATTGGGACAAACGGTCTGGGGCGAGCGCGGAGCCGCCATTTTGGTTCCTACTTGCAAAGTTTAACTATAATAATACTATTGGAAATTGGGTTTATATGCAAAAGAAGAAGGCAATTTAAGCTTATTCCATGGTAGTATCAAATATATTAGGAATAATAGCAAGCTCTTTGCGTTTTTTTAACGATTTGCGGCAGACCTGATTTAATTTCATTGGTTTGAGCTTCGTTTGCGGTTTACTAGTTCGTGCTTCAAATTGATCGTGACCCATTGTAAGAAGTATTTTTCGTACGTGAACGTGTTTTCTCGGCTTATGTTCCGACTCTGTAACAAGTTTTCAAGATCTTTAAGCTTAGTGGCAAGCGGCAATGTTATCCTGGCATCAGTGTTCTCAAATAGTTGGACAAGACTTTGTTCGAAACTTCGAATCATAGTAATCAGGCAGTTTTGGTCCGGAGAGATTTGTGTTCAAGATTTGTAACAATTTAATGCGAGTGAGTGGTTTATGCCCCCCAATTTAATCCAAGCATGATATTTTTTATTCTGAAAGATGAC